TCGTATACTTGTATTTTGTTTGGTAATTCCAGGCTGATGTAACAGCGCTTCCCCTAGCAAGGGGTGTTTGATTGATTTGAACCATTTAAAACCCTTTATTCTACATTTAGCGCCATCACTTGATAAGACACCAGAAGTGTTGAAACAAAATGACTATTTTGTAGTGATTTTATAATATTTTATATATATTTATATATTTTATATATATATATATATATATATATATATATATATTTAACGCACTAATGGAAAACACTTTAATCAATGGATTCCTGTATATATATGTTAATGGCCATATATATATATATATATATATATATATATATATATATATATATATAATAACCATTAACATATATATATATATATAGTGCATACATACTACTCATTAGTACGATAAAACATTAATCAGTTCAACCAAAGTAATTGAAAGCTGATTTTTTATAGTTACCGATTAATTAAAAATTTTAAAACGACAAATAGGTAACTATTTTTTGTCAAGTATTGCGTTATCTATGTAATTACAAGAGAGTTTAAAAAAATGGACGGTTAAAAATAGATAAATTTTATGATATAAGCCGATTATAAAAAAATATATTTAAATAACTGTCTGGATAAAAAAAAAAATTGGAATATTTTTATTTTTTTTATGTTTATTTTGAATGTCTTAAAGGGAAATTTCTGATTTTTCTTTAAAAAAAAATGAACGATTTAATTAGATACACAAATTTACATTTATTAAAAAAATATATCGAAATATAAAAGATGTAAGCATCTACTATGGAATGATTATAAATAAAATTTCCAGGTTTAAAATACTAATGATTATGATATGTTTGTAAAATCTGAAGATGCAATTTCTCAGTAGCGCCAATTATGTGAAGAACACAAGAATACCATGCGGCAAACAAATAAGCTTTTTTATAAAATATGTTTTTCATAAAAAATGGTTTCCATCTTCAAAGACCTTTCAAGAACTATCAAGAGAACGGTTAATAAGTTTAAAAAAGAGGGAACAGTAGAGACGAAAACTGGACCGGGGGGGGGGTCGCAAAACCAAGAGGGATCATCATTTCAACTTAAAGATAAAGAGATCAATTAGAAAAGATCCAATTCAATTCATAAGACGTTTGGCACGTGAGAGAGGAGTTTCAGCTATGACAGTCCAAAGAGCAGTGAAAAAAAAGAGTTGGAAATGAAATCCTACGTGAAACCTGTGAGGAACCTTGTTACTCCAGGACAGAAAGTTAAAAGATTAGAGAGGGCGAAGATCATCTTGAATAAGTTGGAAAATGATCCTGAAACAATATATATATATTTGAACTTTATTTCAATCTTTCATGAGCTTCCGATCTTTAGCTATGAATTATTAATTCATTTTCGTTTATGATCAATTTAATCACGATAGTTCTGTTGAACTTGGAGAGTAATTATACATTCTTATTGCTCAAAGTCGAGTCCAATAATGTTATAAAAAAACAAACTTGGAGAATTGCAGTAATATATTTTTAATCATTTCTAAGATACAACGTTTCAAATCGTAATCTAACAATTGAACAATTTTGCTGTTACACGATTTGGACAATTTCACCTGGTAAATCAGAATTGAAAGAACGTTAATGGCAGAGCATATGTGTATGTTTAAAGCAGCCTCGTTGTGGGGAAATGATTAAGAATAATATATCATGATGATGCTGTTGATGATTATTGTTGTAGTGATGATAGAATTGGTACACCCTAAAAAACGTACACCCTTATGCAAATTAATTGAAACAAAACGAATAATTCCGTAATTATTTAATCTCTTTTCGTATTTTTTCATTGAAACATAACCCAGTGCACATGTTAGTACTTCGTATGTTCATTTAACGAAGTCGTTCCTTGCAGATTGACCACAGATTCTCGATTGGATTTAAACCAGGAGAGTTTCCGACCCAATCTATAGTACTTTGATTTGCTCACTGGTAAGGCTTGCCAGAGTGTTCCTGCAGCGTTACAATTTTCGTATGCTTCCTTGGAGCAACGTCCATCGCGGACAATGGCCGTAGGACAAAAAATCGACAGTCGAGACAATAGTGTCTGGGCGTCATGAAAATCTGATGCAATCATTCATGGATGATGCAATATTTTTGAAGGACAAACAAATTTCATCATAAACCTCGAAAATAGATTCTTATTACTGCACACCACTGCAAATGATCTAATGCGAGGAAAAAACAGAAATCGATTACACCCTGTCACTCCAGTGGATGAAAACTGACAGTATGGTGAAAGAAAGGAAACAAAAGCAGTAGTTTCAATTAATTTGCAAAGGGCGTGTACATATATATATATATATATATATATATATATATATATATATATATATATATATATATATATATATTCAATGGAATTCATTATGACCATGGAATATTAGTGTTTCAGCATTTTTTATTATATCCTTACTCTGTCCTGGACATTGAGTTCTACCTGGATTCTTCCTCTTGGGATTTTTTATACAAAATATATATGTATGTATGTATGTATTTATATATATATTTTGCATATGTATGTTTTGTTTACCACTAATATTATCTATTTCTATCTATTTATCTATATATATATATATATATATATATATATATATATATATATATATACATTTTAAGACATTTTTAAGTTTTTTATTCTTTTTTATAGATACAAATATTTAAGTAAATGCTCTGTTTATAATAAACAGTATTAACAACATTTACTGGCCTGAATGTCCGAGAAATTTTCATAGAAAATATTCGTTCCCCGACAAGAATCTAACCTGTATCCTATACGGAACCATCATATAGCCTGTCGGAGGACGAATATTTTCTATGAAAATTTCTCGGACATTCAAGCTGGTAAATGTTATTAATACCGTTTATTATAAACAGAGCATTTACTTAAATATTTGTATTTATAAAAAGAATGTATAAACATAAAAATATTTTAAAATCATTGTCGGACTTTGTCCATTTCATAATATATATATATATATATATATATATATATATATATATATATATATATATATATATATATATATATATATATATATATTTAAGGGTGTAGAGTGTGGCTCAAATATTTACTTCTTTTCTCTTAATTTACTCCAAATAATAGATGTAATATGGAGTGAGGAATTAAGCAAACGTTAGCGATGTTATCGTGCAAGATCGGTAACACTTGCTACTCTGTCACCAGATTTAGTGCCATTCTCTTGCGTGCCATCTTTATGCAATCCATTTCTCCTGCAACCGCTACCTATCGCTTGTCAAAGATCGATAGAATGCCGCTGATCGATCTGGTACGGCTGATGAATCGCGTTAAATCGCCGACAACGGAGTCGCATATTGGCTCCTCTATGATGTTGCAGCTGATGATCATGCCTCGGTTACTCTCCTTCTGAAGTGATTCTTTCGCTACTTACTCTCCATTTTGTCATGAAACTTTTTTTTTATTCGTGCCTTTTCTTTTTCCTTCGGTTGTGTCATTCGTCTTTCTTTGCAGATTTTTCTTTTATATCCTTTTTCACGTTTCTTTTTCATCTAACGATTTTCTTTCTTTTGCGCAGTTTGCTTATAATATGAATATTTTTCTTGTTTCTCTCTCGTTCTATTTTCATACGAGATTTTCTTTCTTCTGTCAAACCGTTTTGTTTATGTATTCTTCTTCCTTAAATAAATTCTTATTTCTTTCTTCTCCATTTCTTTCTTCATTATCCTTCTTCATGCAATACACTTTTTTCATTTTTCTTTTTTTATAATATATTCTTTATTCTATATTTTATCACATTGTTATTTAGATACACGATTTCTTTCTTTTTTCTTTCTTTCTTTCTTTCTTTCTTCATAAGATACTTTCTTTCTTTTTTCATGAGATTATTTCTTTTTTCTTTCTTTCTTTGTTTTGTGCTTTTTCTTTTATAATATTCTTTCTTTCTTTTTTCATGAGATTATTTCTTTCTTTCTTTTTTCTTTCTTTCTTTCTTCATAAGATTGTTTCTTTTTTTTTTTCATTGTTTTGAGATTTTCTTTTTCTTTTTCTTTCTTTCTTTCTTTCTTTCTTCATAAGATTCTTTCTTTCTTTTTTCATGAGATTATTTCTTACTTTTTTCATGGGATACTGTCTTTCAGTCAATCTTTCTTTATTCCTTTTCTTTATGGGATCCTTTCTTTCTTTCTTTCTTTCTTTCTTTTTTCTTTCTTTCTGGGATTCTTTCTTTCTTTCTTCATGAGATTATTTTTTTTCTTTCGTTCCTACTTTCTTCATGGAATACTTTCTTTCATTCTATCTTTCTTTCTTCCGTTCTTTATGGGATTCTTTCTTTCTTTCTTCATGGGATTCTTTCTTTCTTCTTTCTCTCTTCATAAATGTATTTCTTTTTTCCTTCTTTTTTCTATCTTTCTTTCTTCATAGGAGTATTACTTTCTTTCTTTCTTCATATATTATTTCGTTCTTTCTTTCTTTCTTTCTCTCTTCATAAATAGATTTCTTTTTCCTTCTTTTTTCTATCTTTCTTTCTTCATAGGAGTTTTCATTTTTTTCTTTCTTTCTTTCTTTCTTTCTTCATAAGTGTATTTCTTTTTTCCTTCTTTTTTCTATCTTTCTTTCTTCATAGGAGTATTACTTTCTTTCCTTCTTTCTTTCTTTCTTTCTTTCTTTCTTTCTTCATATATGTATTTCGTTCTTTCGTTCTTTCTTTCTTTCTTTCTTTCTTCATATATGTATTTTGTTCTTTCTTTCTTTCTTTCTTTCTTTCTTCATAGCGCTATTTCTTTCTTTTTTTCTTTGTCTCTTTACTCAAATTATTTATTGTACCATTCTTTCTCCTTTTACAATTTTTCTTTCTTTTCTTTCGTTTTCATTTTTATTTTTACTCTCTTTCATTTTCTTTTTTCTTCAAAATATTTCTCTAATTTTTTCTTTTTCCTTCTCACTTTCTATAAACCTCTTTCTTTCTTTCTTTCTTTCTTTCTGCAACAATGTTTTTCTTTCTTTTTTCTTTCTTTCTGGGATTCTTTCTTTCTTTCTTCATCAGATTATTTTTTTCTTTCGTTCCTACTTTCTTCATGGGATCCTTTCTTTCTTCCGTTCTAAACGTCTTTCTTTCTTTTTTTCTTTCTTTCTTTCTTTCTACAACTATGTCTTTCTTACTTTTCTTTATAACGTTCCATCTGTACTCCTTCCTCGCTAATCTTATCCACTATTACTACGCTTACCCCTGTCATTTATTCTCAAGTTCCCCCACCCCAGCCATCATATTCCGTAATGTAGGTGCTACAACTTATTGGCTTGTTTTTACCAATATTTATGATCACCGATCCCAAAAAAATCGCCTCAAATCAATAATACTCTGTTCAAATTACCAGGGGCAGGACACACGATCCTTCGTAGGAGTCGCGCCATTTTTCTTTTGGAAAGCAAATTAACTTATCATGTCTTGATCCTAAGGTAAAAGGGAGATGTTCTTTTAAAATCGCAACCTGCCCCCCCCACAATCCCCGCCCTCATAAATCTTTACCATTACATTTCACTCATTCGTATCGGCTTGAATTTCTAAATATATTCTGCCGGTTGTAAGCCGAGCTTTGACTGCTTTATCTCAGCTTTAAGGTCGCTCTTTTCCTTCATTTTAATCCCGCAATCCACCCGGCCGTCCACCAACGACGATTCCTTTTCCATGAATCGTTTATGTCCCAGGCAATCCC